GCCATATTATAACATCGACTGAGATAAGAATAAAATGAAATATTAAAATCACGATGTATCTCGTTGCATTGCGCGAGTACGCTTTTAATAATATATATATATATATATATATATATATATATATATATATATATATATATATATATGAGCGATCAAATGAAAACCACTCCAATTTGTAAAAACCATAAAAACTACTCTCATCCGTCGATTTCATTGTTTAATCTTATGAAATTTTTTCATGAACTTGTTTAATCTTGTGAAATTGTTTCATATAATATTTTTTTTTATGAAGTTTCATACATGGTTATGAAACTGTTTCATATACTACTTAATGAAATTTTAATAAAATTGTTTCATGTATTTCTTTAAAATTAAAATAATGAAAATGATAATATCTATGATTAACAACCTTCACAATAAAAATGATTAATCAACCTCTCATAATTAAAAAAAAAATGAACACAATAAAAAATTATGATTAATGGAATGAAGTTTTTAAGATTTTTTCAAATTTAGTGGTTTTCATTTGATCGCTCCCCTATATATATATATCTATATATATATATATATATAAAGTTAAAGTAGAATTTAATTTTGAATTTGAAATTTGAAAACAAACATCAATAGTACCAAACAAGTAAAACACCGACAACACGGACGGACCACCGTCTCCGTGCCTTCGGTTGAAATTAATATGTGATGTTGACATTGACAATTCCTGGTTGGAACTTCTAATGTAATTTTATCACTCATTTATTTACTTAAACTTAAATGACTTTAATTCAGTTTTCAATTCATTTATTCTCTTACTTTCAAATAATACCATCATCCTCTTTGAAAAATTTATTCAAAATTTACTTTAGTCATTCTCATTCAACTTATTTTATCAGGTAAAAATATAATACATCAAAACAGTATGATATGTAATAATTTATCCTATAAGCATTAGGTAAGAGTCGTCACTCTCACTTATCAAGTAACACTTATCATATAATTATTAAGTCTAAACGCAAATCTAAAGTTAAAAAGAAGTGGTATTTACACCAAACTTGAAGATGCCTAATTTCATGCTTTCATTGCATTTTGAAATTGATATGGAACTGATTTTTACACAAAATTTCAACCATCAAATCCAACAACTTTTCTTTTTCTTTACATAAAAAGTAAAAAGTAAAAAGTAAAAAGTAGAATTACATTTTGTAATCGGTAAATCCTATAAAAATTTCAACTTATTTATTTCTTATTATTGACTGACCGTTACCTTCTAGGCAACAAAAACACATATACATATACATACATACATACATACATATAACAAACCAACTTTACGCGACGGTCGGCATGTCCTTCAACCATGGATCCAGTGGCTTCCCAATTGAGTACACAATGAACCCAATCTCCCTCAGTTTCTCAGCCTTCACCACATTCCTCCCGTCGAACACGAATGCCGGTTTCATCATGTTCTCGTAAATCTTCTCGTAGTCCAGCTTTTTGAACTCGTCCCATTCCGTCAGTATGCACAGCCCATGTGCACCCTTAGCCGCTGCGTATGCATCCCACTCCACGCTCACTTGCTTCACCGAGCTCGGGCTCATTGGCTGCAGGTGCAACGGGTGGTCCCAGTCGAACTTGTTCATCGACAAGTCTCGCTGAATCTGATCTTCAGTCACCTGCGGATCGTATATGCTCAATCGAGCCTGGTCCCCTAATAACCCTTTGCAGACGTCGATTGCTGGAGTTTCTCTTGTGTCGCCGGTGTCTTTCTTGAAAGCGAACCCGAAGATTGCAATCTTTTTGCCGGAAACCGTGTTGAACATTGATGTAATGATTCGGTTGACGAACCTGGATTTCTGGTAGTCGTTGACTTTGATCACTTGTTTCCAGTAGTTTGCGACTTCTGGTAAGCCGTTGCATTCGCAGATGTAAACCAAGTTGAGGATGTCTTTTTGGAAACAAGATCCACCGAACCCCACGCTGGCGTTTAGGAACTTGTGTCCGATTCTGGTGTCCTTTCCCACTGCATGGGAAACTTCTGCCACGTCAGCACCAGTCGCTTCGCAGAGCGCTGACATGGCGTTCACGGAGGAGATCCTTTGTGCCAAGAACGCGTTGGCCGCCAGCTTGGACAATTCGGCCGACCAAAGATTCGTACAAAGAATCCGCTCCTCGGGCACCCAATGAGCATAAACATCTTTCAATGCCTTAATCGCCCTTCGACCATCGGGGGTTTCTCTCCCTCCGATCAACACACGGTCAGGGGCGAAAAGGTCTTGTATCGCTGTACCCTCAGCAAGAAACTCCGGGTTCGAGAGGATCTGGTATTTCACCCCTTTGCTGTTGTGGGTGAGGATCTTTTCGATAGCCTCGGCCGTTTTCACAGGAACCGTCGATTTCTCGACCACAATCTTGTCGGATTTCGACACGTCAGCAATCATACGAGCCGCACTCTCCCAGTACGTAAGATCAGCGGCTTTCCCGGCTCCTAGACCTCGAGTCTTGGTTGGCGTGTTAACCGATACAAAGACGATGTCGGCTTCAGCCACATGTTTTTCAACATCACTGCTAAAGAACAAGTTGTTGCCTCTACACGACTTGACCACCTCATCGAGCCCTGGCTCGTAGATGGGAAGCTGGTCACTGTTCCAGGCCGTGATCCGAGAGACCGATATATCAACCACAACTACTTCAATGGAAGGACACTTGAGTGCAATAACCGCCATTGTTGGACCTCCAACATACCCAGCTCCAATGCAACAGATTTTCACCATTTTTGCAGAGGAAATGAAGCCTAACAACATGATAAACAAGGGATTTTGTTAATTCAACCCAGAGATCTCATCTGGAATTTATCAGAATGCAGAATCTACATGAAATTTGATTGTTTTTTTTCTTGAAAATTTGAATGAACACAGAACAGAAAGCAGATTATAACAAACCATTTGCTAAACTGGAATCAAGATTTCTTGAAATCACAACAGAACAGTTGCTCATATTAGTAAATTAACCACAAATTCACTACAGAACATGATGATTCAAATGATTCAGATGAAAAGTGTAAAGAAAGAGAAGAAGTGATCTAAGAATGTGGGCATAAACTGCAGAATTTAGAAGTGGTAATGAAGAAATGTTCACCTTGCACTTGCAGGGAAGAAAGAAACTGAAACGAAAGCAGAAGAAGGTATGCAGAAGAGGTTTGGATTGTACAGAAGAGGAAAGAGGTGAAGACATCTTTAAATACCCAAAAATTTGAAGGATTTGGAAACTCAAAAATTAAGTAAAGTGTCAAACTCAGATTTAGAGTCACAACATTCAACACGTTTCCAGACGCACCTTTCAGTAGCTAACAAGGGAATTTCATTTCATTTCTGTTTTTATTATATATATATATATATGTATTTTTATGACCTTCAATTTAATTTAATGATGAAAGCCGATGATAAGTGTCTTAATTACTTCTTTTTATTTATTCTTTTAAACCTAAAATTTGTTGGTTTGACTTGAATCTAGAAGCAAGATCATGGATCGTCATCTAACTTTTGGTCATTTTTATGACTTTCCCACGGCATGACATAACATGATCGCCGTTTGATTTATGGATTTGGATGGAATTGAAAGGACCAAATCTTTTGATCAAATTCTAAATACAACGTTTGGTTTATGGAATAAAACTGATGAAATCCTTTCATTTCCAATAAATTCTTCCACTCACAGATTTTACATTCCACGACAACACCCTCGGATTTCAATTCTTTTCCGACAAATTCCTTTCCTAATCCAAATTCATTCAACGTTGCGTCTACCATCTCATCTAATGATCTTTGGTTCGATCTCCATCTGGTACGCTCTCTCTCTCTCTCTCTCTCTCTCTCTCGTAATTTCTCCATCTATACGAGATCGATAGACAACATATGTAATCAAGGAATCGATTCAAGATAACTAGCTATCGATATCACTAGTCCAATTCCGTTATTCAAAAATCATAAAAGATCATTTGTTGATATTTAATTCCGATTCCAAAGTTGAATTCCGTGAACCAAACAAAAAAATTCCAACATGTTAAGAATTTCATTCCAATTTCATGCAACCAAACACAATCACAAAGCATGGTCAAATTCCATCAAATTCCATTCCATTACCTCAAAGTCAAATTCAATTGATAAATACCAATTCCATTCTACAAACCAAACGCCCCCTGATTTTATTAATATAATAATGTTTTAATAAATAAAAAAACTTCTTATTATGTGATTTTATTTTAATAATGATGTGATTTTAGTGTTAACAAAATCAACTTATTTATGACATGTAATACATTGTGATTGATGTGTATATTATATGTATTTGATTTTTAAGAATAATGTTAAAAGAAGTTAAATTATTAGTATCCAAATTATTTATTGAATAACATGCCTTTATTTTGTTACATCCCATTCCTATATAACCTGTCAACACATCATAGACCATCTTTATTTACGATCTCAACCAATCTCTTGGTGAGTAAGATAAAAAAAAAAATTAAGGAAAAAGAAATTAGTAATTTCATCCAAACTTGATTACCATACGGATCGAGATTGTGATTTTCCATCCTATTTTGTATGCCACGTGTCATATTACTATTGGTTAAGTTATATTTTATTTTATAAAACTTATCTGATAAAAAAATGATTTTAACAAGAAAACTAAAAAAGAAATACACCAAAATTCATGGTTTTCAATTCCCTATAAATAGAGTTCGATATTAACATATTTTCTTCACACCAATCTTTCTATTCATTTCAATTGAGATTAATTTACAAAGAATTGTCCCACCTCATAAAACATGATTGTTGAACATTCCACGTTACGAAACTACCAACATGAGGGTTATGATGGATATTTGTGTGTGGGCAACAAGCAAGATTTGCTTCTTTTTGATCCTTTTTTATTTTATTTTATTTTATAGAAAGATTTATCTTTTTTATATCTACCAAAAACCCATTTCACATAATGATTCATTCATGTCTTACGACAAGTAACGGATTTTTTTTACGATGGAAAGTATCTAATCACCAATAACATGAAACTTCAGCTTGATTGATGCCAAAGAACCCATTTCACGAGAAAAAGCAATATGCAAAACCCATGTTCCAAAAGTACCAAAAATGCGTAAACAGTCGAATTGGGGCTTGCTTTTGAGGCTAAAAGAATTGGAAAAAGAAGAAAGCTTCGTGAGGAACGTGAATATGAACGGTGTTGGGGGTTAAAGCTAAGGAAGAAAAGATCCCGAGCTCTACCCCTCCAAGACATTAAGAAGATCAAACATGGGACAAGTATTTGTAATCAATATCAATATAATAAAAGATGTTGATAAACTGTCTTTTATCTTATCTGGTAAATGTTAATCAAATTGTCGAAATTTGATTTGAATGATGTTGTTCAACTCATCATGCATTTGGTACAAGTCAACGAAGCTTGGAGGAGATTAGCTGACCCGAGCGAGCTTCAGTTCCCATAAGTCTGTTCGTAAAGACGCCTTAGCCTTTTACGTGGCATGCAGCGTGGTTCTTGGTTGCGGCACAACCTGCACTCATCACTCAGAAACCAACTTGCATCAGTCAACTTATATGTTTTATAGATAATTAAAAGAAAATAAAATGGTTAAGAAATAATAAAAAGAAAAAATAACAAAAAAAAAAAAAAGAGAATGTGTACAAGAACTTGAGTTCTTGTTCAAACACCTAAGTTCTAATAAGAACATGTGATTGGACAAGAACCTCTGTTTTATAGTGGAAGTTTTTATAACAACTCCAACAATAACTTGAACAAGAACCTCCATTATGGATGCTCTAAGACAAAGATTTCTATCCATTTGGTCTCCGTTCTAGTTTTAGTAACTTCGTGGGAACCTTGTACATTTACTAATTTGTTGATCCAAAGATGTTTGTAGACATGTTTTAATTCTTCCGGCAAGTAATATATTGATCTCTTTATCCCGTGTGGACGTACAGTATAACCCGCCAGTGAAACCATGTTAAATTCTATTGTCTCGATTTACGTGTCACTTAGATATTTGCTCGTATATCTGATTATTATTGCTTCGTATATGTTTGTAGATCGATACTTCTAATTAGACTGCAATGTACAATATCAAAATTTCATTTATCTGCATTCAGGGGTATAAATGGTGTAAGTCAAGCTCGAGTATCGATATACTAGACTCGAACTCAATTGCAGTTTTTTAAGCTCGAGTTCGAGCTCGAACTCATTTGAAACTAAAAAATAATTGATTAGTTTTTATAGTTAAAAATGCACAATTTTGTTCAAATATATGAAAATAGAAGACATTTTTATGTTATTATATTTTACAAATTATATTATGAAACTGATGATATTTTAAAACTAACTATATATAAAAAGATCGAGTATCTCACAAGCTTTTCGAGTCGAATATTGTGTAGCTTGACTCGACTCATTAATATATCGAGTCGAGTTCAGGTTCGAGCTGAGCGTTGACCGAGTCGATCTCGAATAGCTCGCGAGTTGTCTCATATCATTTGCACATCAATCCACATCTGTTGTATTAGATTAGTTTACATTGTGGTTTCTTGATAATATCTGGGACCGTAAAATCACTTGATGACTGTTGATATTTGAAACTGTGACCCCCTGTACAAGTAAGAATCACCACCCTCACTTATCAGATAAAATTCTCAATCCTATCCATGCCTGAATAAAATTCTAAATTCTTGTCAGACTCACCTGATAATAAGTAAATAACCCAATAAACATTTACTAAGTATAAAAATTTATAAACAACCCCTAAATAAATAAATAAAATATGATTTTTACCTTAAAAAAGCTTCAAATAACATCAACATAAACGTGTTGGGTACCTGCTAAAATGGCTTTTAAACGATCGGGTGGTGGGTGATGGCATTCATGTGTCAAATGCCCTGCCATTTGTCTGCCAATCAAAGGTTGACTCCTTCCTTCTCAAAATAATAGTGTACAATATTATTTTAATTTATTTCAAAAATAAATATATATTTTTTTAAATTAGAATGCTAGTTGTACAATGATATATCTCGATTTTAATGTTTTATTATATTTTATTTTCGTTGATTTTATAATATGATTTTACGTGGTATAGAAAAAACGATAATGTTTTTATTTTTTGAATAAAATATAAATTTGAAAGTATAATATTTTTTTTTATAAAAAATATCAATTTTAGTATCAAATTAAATTTTTAAAAGTTTTTTTTTTGTAATTTTTTTAACTCAAATTTTTATTATAATTTAGATTTAATAATGAAGTCATTTAGAGTAAACACTAAGAGTATATGAAAAACAAAAGGGACTAGTTATGCCAAAAGTAGAAAACAAATTTGGAAATGATTGAGATTTGAGAAATCATTTCCCAAATCATTTTTTCCTATTCTAGAGGAGGTTTGACGTCTTATAAATCGGAATTTTCGGTTGAATTTTTGTGAAGATATTCTTTAGGATGCAAGGGAGTAAAGGCCTTTGGAATTCCGGGATTTCATCAAGGAACGATAGAGATGTTAAGTTTGGAGAGGCATAGAGTCATTCCGCACAAAAACGGCGATTGGAGGTAAAATACTCAACCAAAATTGATGTATAATATATGATTGGCTTCGTTTTTCAATTACCTTTCTGTTGGTACAAGTCTAGTGGGCTATGGTGGCCTATACGTCGAGCGGTTTACGCTAGAAGCTACTGTGGCGGTGGTCGACGAGATTCTGGTACAAAAACTCAAAAATACGAGTTTAAT